CAGGGATTACAGACCTGTGTCACTGTGTCTTATTTTTAGGTATTGATTAGCTGTTTGTATTTCTTCTTTTGAGAACTATTCAGTTCATTGGTCCACTTATAGACTGGATGATTGGGGTTGGTGTTTAACATTTGTGGTTCTCTACATGTTTTAGATAGTAATCCTCTGTTTATAATAAATTATAAATTTATATTTATAATTTTATACATTTTGTCCTGTTTTGTGGCTGTATCTTCACTCTGGCAATTGTTACCTTTGTTGGACAGAAGCTTTAAAAGCCCATTTCAAAAGACCACATACTGCATTTATATAGCTTTTTAGTATTTTGTTTTTTAAGACAGGGTCTCATGAATCCCAGGCAGAAGAACTTGGACTCAATATGTAACCTAGGCTGGCCTTGAACTCTTGATCCTCCTACCTCAGAATCTCAATTACTAGAATGACAAGTGTGTGTCACCATGCTCGGTTTATATAACTTTCATAAAATAAGAATATTATGAAGATGCAAAACAAGTCAGTGGGTGTCGCTAGGAGTCAGGGATAATGGCAGCAACATCTGGCATGCCTATAAACGGATGGGAAAGGAGAGCTTTGTGATGGTGAAATAGTTGTACATCTTGATTTGTGATAGGGATCTTTACACAATAAAAGGACATAGAACTATAAGCATGTGTCATACCACTGTCAATTTCCTCATTTTAATATTGTACTAAAGTTACATAAAGGAAATTTTTAATGAATAATTCATGGAACCCTCTGAGCTGCTTGTCTGTTTTCTGTAAATCAATTGCTATTTCAACGTTTTTAAGGTTTTGAAAACTAGATTAATTTTAAAAGCTATATCAAATAAAGTGTAAACTTTCTTGAACTACACAAAAGCTGTCTTCTGAGCCTAGTTATCAGTTTTCATTGTACTGCAGATATTCAGAAGAGCTCAGTTGTAGAGTCTGTAAGATGACTTACTGACTTGAATAGTATTTTAAATCGGGCTAGAATAAAATATATACATACCCTCAAGCAAAACCTCAAAGTGGTACACCCTGATTTCCTGCCCTGCCATTTTTATTGCCAGGAACTGAATTTAGGACTCTATACATGCTAACCAAATGCTCTTTCCACTGAGCCTCTGCCCCCTTTAAAAACAAAGCAAGATTTAGAGATATATTTCACGTGTGGTAATTTTCACACTTGGATGTGCTTGATTTTTATGTGCTCACATATGCCAACCCACACCATACACTATCACTGAACCACTGTTGCTAAGATTCCTTCCCAGGGTGAGACATAAGCAATGTCTACCCCTTCTCCTAAGTTCCTAATGACAAACCAAGACACAATCCTACCAAAGTTCACTCTGGAGAACCAATGAGCTTAAGTGGGGGGTTTACTTACAGGGGTGTGGGCATGCCTTCCCCCAACAGGAAAAGCCTTACCCAGCCAAGATGCGAGCTTTTCTACAGCCACATAGATGGAGCCACCATCTAGTCCTCTCCACATCTATTTTTTCCTCTTCCAGGCCATGGCAGTAGGAAGCAGGATAGTGGAGATCTCATGGCCCCCTCTGTCTTCTCTGCCCCTCTCTGCTGGGGTGTAAACCATCAACAAGCACACCTGGGATGATCTTTCACAAGCAGCTGAATGCCCCAAGATGGTGGTTGCTTCACTCATAGAACGTTCACTCACAGCGAACGTACACTCTCAAAAAAGTGTCACCACAGGCACTCCAAAATGTTCCCTCGCGCCCCTCTCTGATAAACCTCACCTTCATCTCCTCTTTATTTTTCCGTCTCCATAATTTTGCCTTTTCTAGAATTTTCTGAGAAGGGTCATTTGAGTTTGTCTTCTTTCACTCAGCATAACATCTTTGAGAATTATCCAAGTTGCTGTGTATATCACTAGTTTATAGTGTTTGTGGGTGTGCTGTATTTTGCTGTATTGATATATATCCATTTGTTTATTCATTTACCAGTATATTTGAACCATTGCTAGGTTTCAGCAATTGTGAAAAGAAGCTTCTATAATTATTGAGAACTCCAGTTGTTGGATTGTTTGGGGTTTCGCTTCCCCCACCTTGGTAGTGCTTGGCATCAAACCCAGGACATAGTACATGCTAGGCAACGACTGCTATCTCTGAGTTGCACCCTCATCACTAGGTATAGGGTTTTGTATGAACATAAATATTAAGATTTCAGTGGGATATGTTAAGTGTATGACTGACCTCACAAGAAATTGTCAAGCTGTTTTGCAAAGTGAGTATACAATTCTACATTCCTACCAGCAGAGTATGAGATTTCCAGCTCCTCTACATCCTTCCAGTACTAGGTATTACCATTTAAGTAGTCTTCTTCTTAGTAGATGTGTAAGGGATGTCTCATTGTGATGTTTCCTGTGTATTTGGTTGGTTGGTTTTGGTGTTCTGAGACAAGGCCTTGCCGTGTGTCCCAGACTGGCTTTGAATTCTTAATCTTCCTACCTCAGCCTTCCAAGTTCTAGGATTACAGGTATGTGGCAGGCAATTCCTGGCTCTCATTGTAGTTTTAATATGCACCTATCAAATGATTAAAGACATTTATCAACTTCCATGTGCTTAACTGATATTCACTTTTTGTGTATGTGTATGATGCATGTTCAAGTCTTTTGTCCATTTTGAATTGAAGTATTTGCATTCTTGCTGAGTTGTCATGATCAACTCAGACTTGTGTGCTGGAGGTACCTTTGCCGGATATATATGTCACGAATATTTTTCCCAGTGTATTTTGTACATTTTCATTTTCATAACTTTCAATATTTATTTTGAATGTGTGTGATGTGTGTGTACTTATTTGTGTGTGAGGTCATGTGGAGGCTCACCTTCCACCTTGTTTGACGCAGGGCCTCTCTTATTGTTTGTGGCTCTGCTGCATACTCCAAGCCGGCTGGCTCAGGAACTTCAGGGCTTTCTCCTGTTCCCCCCTCCCATCTCACTGCAGGAATGCTAGCATTACAGGCGCACGACACGATGTCCAGTTTTTAACGTGGGTTCTGGGAATCCAAATCATCAGGCTTGTGAAGCAAATGTTTTTCCTGGCCGAGCCATCTCTCTGGACCTCACAACTAGGGTTTTTTTTTTTTTTTTTTTTTTTTTTTTTTTTTTTTTTTTTTCTTAAAGCACGGAAGTTTTAAGCTGAATGTGGTGATACAAATCTGTAATCTCACGTTGCTAACTTTCCTTCCCTGGAAGAGAAGTAAACAACGTCTGTCCTTTTCCTAAGGTCCCACTGACAAACTGAGCGCACCAAAGTTCATCCCAGGGAACAAATACGTTTATTAGGCTTACTTCAGAGCAGCGGCTGAGGGATTGATTAGACAGGAGCATAGGCGATCTTAAAGTAGCCACACTGTAAGGCTGTACCCAGCAGTGAAGTTAGCTTTCTAGTGGCTGTGTAGGTAAAAGCCCCTCCTTTTGTCCTCCCCCACCTATGTTCTCTAGACCCTCCCCCAAGACCAAGGGCAATCAGGGAGGAATTGTATACAACTGGTTCGGAGAGCTGTCTAGTTTCAGGCCAGCCTGGGCTACATCAGTCCTTGGTTGGTTGGTTGTTTTCAGCAGAAATCTTAAGTTTTGCTGAAGTCTAGTGCATCGGCATTTCACTTATGAGCCATACTGCATATGAATATTCTATGAGATCTCTGCTTAAACAAAAATTGAAATGATTTTCTCCTGGAGGTTTTAGACTTTTACATTTAAGTCTCTGGTCAGAATTCCATTGATTTTTATGTACAGTAGAGCTCGTCACATGTCCAAACTCTCTTCTGTATATGATTATATCTTATCGTTATTTTATTTGAAAACACTTTGAAGGCTGAGCTGGGGCTGGGGCTGAGTGCTGTAACACTTCCCTAGTACTGTGAATCCTTGTGTTCTGTCCCCAACACTGCCAAGGGAAAGGGGGGGCACTTTGAGGGAAGTATAAGAATTTTAATCTCCACTCCCCACGTGGGAAATTTGGTTAGCAAAGCCTTGTGTGATTTCCCAGCGTCCCACATATCATAATGGGTAAAACTGAAATGAATGTCCAGATCCCTTGCTGTCCTGAGCCAGGATTTTTGAAGCTAGGCAGCTAGAACTCAGAACCGCAGCCTAGCAAAGTGAAGACGGTTCCTGAGAACAGATTACTAGGCGCTACAGTACGAGACACAGGCAGGCACAGGCAGTGGAGTGGCCCTTCCCTCGGGCCCACTCTGGTTGTTCACTTGGAAGGAGAAAGAAGCTGGCCCAGTGCCTTTGCTCAGGTGACACTCACTGAATGTTTTTTGATGATGATGATGATGATGATGAAGTCTTGGAATGAGTTCAGAGAAGAACTCTGAAAATAATTACAGAGTTACAAAAGTAAATTAAAGCTGAAAAGAAAAGTTTAAAGGAACTCAGATTATTTAACCTAGAAGAGAGAGGCTCAAGATGAAACCCGATAACAGCTTTTAAACAAACAAAGAACTTGGGCTTTCCTTCTGAGGGCTGAGCAAGGGGAAATGGGCTGGAAGAATGTGAGTAAAAGGGCAATGTTCCTCCTCGCCGAGGGCTGTTACCGATATGACGTCTCTAGAAATAAGATAAACTGTGAGGTTGGAGGCCAGAGATTTGCCATACATGGGCCGTCTTGCATAGAGTTCCTGAAAATCAGATTGATCCTGAATCTACTCTATACTCTAGTACAATTCCGGGGGACGGGGGGGGGGGGGCATTTTTGGCTGTGATCTTTCCTGATCCTTAATCTTCACATTTAGATTTTTATTCCAAGGACTGAAACAAGCCTGGCCCAATCCTAAAGCTTACCCTACCCCTCCTCATCCCTGAATCCAAGCATCTCAATTCGGTCCTGTTTCATACCTCACCCCTGTGTACATACAACTCTGGATATCAGTGTCCCCGTGGAAAGGCCAGAGAAGAAGCGAGGTGGCAGCAGCAGCATTAGACACGACAGTAACCTCCAGTGTCTCTGTGCTCCTTTTCTCTGCAGCATGGGTCGCAGCCCTCGCCATGGGCATGATCTTCTTCTGTTCTCCCATTGTGAGTATATTCACTGACCGCTTGGGCTGCCGGATCACAGCCACCACCGGGGCTGCGGTTGCGTTCATTGGCCTCCACACCAGCTCCTTCACCAGGTAAGGCCTGGGGTGGCTGCCTACTTTTCCAAGGGTGAGGATTGGCTTCTTGGGGGGGGGAGCTTTAGCTAGGAACACGATTCTCACTGCAGAATCCCCTGTGGCTCTGGCCATGTAGAGCCCTCAAAGATCTTGCTCCCAGGACTCAGGATGCAGTGCGACTCACTTTATATGGAGTCTGAAGGATACATTTGCAAGGAATACCCACTTCCAATATATTGTGAGGAGCCTATGTCTGCCAGTTCATAGAGCGGGTTCAAGTCCTGCTTTGATCACTGAATAGCTATGGAGTGATTGATGAGCATCCTTCTCTTGTCTGAGCCTCACTTTCTGTATCTTTAAGAGATCACATGGTTTCTTCAGATCTCTCCAAGCTCCCCTCTAATGTGGCACACATCTCATGACTTGCCTTTCCTCCCCAGAAGTTAGCGACTTAAGTGAGCTAATGTGAATGACCTAGCATTCCCAAATGAATCTTCAGCTGAAAACCAGATAATCTCAGCACACAGCTAGTTAGCATGTCTGGCCTTTTTCTGGGTGGCTCTGGCTCTGGAAAGATGGGTGGATGAGACAGAGAGGGATTCTCATGTCTTGGGCATGAGAAGGATGTTTAGCAACATTACCCACTGAAGTACAGATCCAAACCCCAGCAACCAAGCTGAAACTCAAATCCTAGATTTGTTTATCCCACTCGTAGATAGAGTGATGTAGCTAGGTGAGCAGGCTACACATATACTTGTGCCTTCTTTCCTGTCAGCCCTGCACAAGCATGTGTAAAGAGAAGGGGAGAATAAAGACCCTCTCCTATAGCAAGAGAAATGTGAGGTTCCTAAAGAAGTCTGTGGACTTTCTGCCGTACACTTTGCAAGCCGTGGTACCTCCTACTTCCAGTCTGCCTGGGTTGATATAGGACAATGATGGCCTGGAGACATGAACATGGCCACAGTGACATGGAATGGAGACTGAGCTAACTTGAAAGAGACTTGCTTTCTGAGGATGACTCCCCAGAAAAAGCCATGGCTCTCTGGGCTGAAATTTCCATACACAGTGGAGAATGAGACTCATGCTCTGTCTCAGCTAGACCCAATGGGAGCGAGCCAACTGTCTTAATGACTTGAGCATTTCCGGCTGCCCAGACTACCCTCCAGCAGAGCTTAGATTTGGCGTGCAGTGGTGTGTTGGTTCCAACCCATCCAACTGGGACAAGGGAGAGGGTGAACCATATCCTGCCTGGAACCTTCTCAGCCCTCCCAAGGCAGCAGCTCTACACTTTCTGAGGACCCTTCTGGTGGTCAGCCTCATTTGCCCCACCCCCGGCAAGCTGGTACCAGATTCTTGTGGGGGATGGGCTAGGCCTCTCAGTGCTACATAGCCGAGGCTTGTTTCTTGAGGCAGAGCACAGCAAAGTGTAAACAAATTAGCAGCATAAGGATCTCATTTCCCTCGCAGCCCACATGGGCCGCGGCACAGGAGGGAAATGCACTTAGATGTGGTGTTTTCTCCTGGCGCTCTTATCTCAGCCCACTGGAGGAGGCATTTTTCTCTCTAGCCCACGGCCCCCTCTTCTGTTTGATCCTTCTGTAAGAACATTTTCAGAGCCAAGAAACTCTCTGGATGGTTTCGTGTCCAGGGAGAACATGATTCTGCTTGTGGCTCAAACTTGAAGTCATTCTTCCTATTGTCTCACGTCGAGCTCTGAGTCCCTTTGGGTGATTGGAACAGGGCAGAGCACAGGCAGCGCTGACGAGTCTTTAGCAGGCCCAACTCAAGGAAGGCTCTCCCATCCTGGAGCCCAGTTAGAAACATTCACCACACAGCACCCTGAACTAAATCCCATGGTTTCCCCCAGAAAACCTGACAGAAGAGAGGCAGTCAGCTTAGCTACAAGTTCAAAGTAGAGACAACCCCCTGTTAACTAAACTAAGCCCCCTACTCACGGTCAGCAACTATGAGCAGATGGGAGGCAACAGTGATGATAGTTTTCTTGGAATCAAGGGGCCACTGGCAGTGCAGCACAAGTCCAGTTCTTCGGTATAAAAGCTGGGTCTGTGTCTGAAAAACAAGAAGAACATTGGTTAATTTAATGGCCAGATAAGGACTATTGCAAAATATATGGAAGCATCCAAAAGAAAACAACTATTCACTAGGTTGTGCCAGTATTGTGTGAGGGTAGATGGCTAGCCAAACTGACCTGCCCATGGCCTTTCCCCTTCTAACACTTTGCCTTCTGTTACAGAGGCCTGTGGCAGAGCAGGGCCTATGAGCAACGGCCTGTCTTTCTCAGCCAGGCCCGTAACTTGAGGCTTAACTTCTCTAGCAATCAAGCCGACTTCTTACTCTAAGGGAACTAATCCATATTATATGCAGCAACAGAGACAGAATTCTGGAAATTAAAGGGACTTCTTAACTCACAGTCCCTATATACATCACGTGGAGCTTGAGATAAAAGACTTGGACTATCTGGACCTTGGGCAAGGATGCAGAGAAAGGAGGTTCTCCTGAGATAATTAATTAGCCAGTCTTTGAAATATTAAGGGCCCTGAGAATAATGGCACACCAAAGAACCCTAAGGAACAGCTCAACCTTCCAAGACCAGAATCTTGGCTCTTTGAAGGCCTTTGTTGTTACTTGGAATAAAACTTTGGTCCCCCAGTCTACTCATGGTGTCTAGGTAGGAAGTAAAGTAAAACTGTTTTCCTTAAGGCATAGGCTGACTCCTTGTAGCCCCTCACCTAGCCTCTGCAAAGCCCATTTCTGAGTTTTTTCTTTATTTTTCTGTTTTTTTAATCCTCTTTCATGGGATGCTATAATCACACAGATCTGTATTAAAGTCCAAGATTTGAGGTTTTTTGTTGTTGTTTTGGTTTGGTTTTGTTTGTTTTGAGACAAAGTCTTGCTGTGTAGTCCAGGCTGCCCTTGAACTCCTGATACTCTTGTCTTAGCCTCCTGAGTGCTGGGATTACAGGTGTGTGCCACCACATGTGTCCCAAGGCCAAGCTTTTTGTTAAGTGCCTGTCCAAGGCAAACTTTATTCTTGATCAAGAGAATGCATTCGGAAAAGCTGACACACATTTAAAGAAGATGCACTTGGTTTTTGGTCGAACTTGGGTGGTAACTATGTCTTTTCTCCATTGGCTGGGGTCTGACCTCATAGTCTTACTCAATTGGCTAGTCTTTTAAAACTTAAGGCTGCTGGGCATGATGGTGCAAACCTTTAATCCCAGCAGTTCGGAGGCTGAGGCAGGCAAATCTGAGTTCGAGGTCAGCCTGATCTACAAAGTGAGCTCCAGGACAGCCAGGCCTACACAGAGAAACTCTGACTTTAAAAAGAAGAAGAAGAAGAAGAAGAAGAAGAAGAAGAAGAAGAAGAAGAAGAAGAAGAAGAAGAAGAAGAAGAAGAAGAAGAA